TCGCCGTCTTTTTTTTTTTGGTGGGGGGATTATTCTCTTCAAGATGCCCTTATTCGAGATGACTTGGGCAGCGAGATGTCCCTTTCCTTCTAAACATGTACAATAATTATTGCTTTGAATCCAAGCTTTTTCTTCAGCAGGCACTATCATCTGTAAGGGAACACATGTGCGCAGATTTAAATAGTGCTTCTTACAAAGCTACTGAAATCAATTATTCTCTTTAAGAACTGGCTAGGAAGAGAAAACAAAAATATGCAAATAAGCAAACTACATGTCATTTTTGCTTAAAAAAATAGAAATAAATAAAAAAGAAGGAAGATCGCTGTTTTGTGAATTAGAGGTTGACCAAAAAATGTATTGAAATCTAGAGTATTGCTCTCAGTTTGCAGTTTCTAATCTGCTTAACTCAAAGCAGGCGGCATTTTCATACCCTGAACTTGGGTTCGCTTTTTAGTTTTCACTTATTCTGCGCTTGTATCGAATGACAAGTTGGAAACCATTGTGGCAAACGGTTTTCTTTGTGGGAGTCGCACAGTAAAGCTAATTTATGACTGGTCCTTTACCAGATGATCTGTATCAGAATCTACAATATACCAGGCACGTGGCAAGGTCACAATTTAAGTTGTTAAGGTCACAACCTTAGCCACCAGGCATTTGACCTTTTAGATAAAGTTAACCTTTGTTCATTAGTAGGCACTCAACCGAGAACTTTCTGGAGTTTTTACTGCTTTGGAGTTCCTCCTGCTAGTGTGATCAGATTGGGGAACAGAGTCGCAATGGAAGTAGTTAAATTTTGTGAGAGGTCACTGTTTTTCAGAGGCTTCTCTCCAGTGGCCGAAGCTGGACGGCAGGCCAACGCGCGATGCCGCCATGCCCGCTCTGTTTTTTTGGCCGGCCGTCGTTATGCGCTTCGGGCGAGAATTAAGCTAGCGAGGTATTTGTGGCAGAGCAAATCTTTTAATCTTTCAGAAGGACATTTAAAAATCCCGAATCTAAGAAAAACCTGAGGAGAGGGTTTTATTTGCACAAGCTCATTTTTTTTCTCTTCGCGTTAAGAGTAGAAGCCAGCGAAGATGCGAGAACTCGGCCCTTTTTTTTCTGCGGCTGCGAAAATTTACTTAGCGTCTAAATATGCTTTATGGCTAATTGCCTGGCCAATAGTTCTCAGCACACGACCTTGAACTTTAAGCAGCCCCATTTTAATGTTCCCATTGGCGGATTTAAAATATTTCTACTCGGGCTGCCGTGAAGAGGCATCGCTGTGAATATCCCAAAGATTGGTCCAAGCAGAAAAACAACCGCAGGTAGCCAAAAAATACTCGGGGAGTCGGGAAGGGACATCAGGCTTTGCACCATAATCTTTTAGGACGATTGGTATTGATTGTTGCCGCATTAATCCCGTTAATAGCCGTGGCCGTTTCGGCGTGTCGCGGGGATGCGAGAGGTGTCCTGACAATACCGTCCATCACCAAAAGCGCTGTGGCAGCGTCTCCAGCTCCCGCTCGCTGCCCTGCAAAAGTGGAGCGTTCGACTCCGGGAACTACTGCCGGCTCCTATAGGAACACACACCATATTGTTTACTTCGTTACGCCGTAGCCAAGGCTCATTTTTAATTATTTAGCTGACTTTCTCGCTTTGCTGTGATACCACATTTATTATTTAATTTAAAATCAAAAGGGCTCGCGCTGCTCTTAGTTTTTGATGCGTTTTACTTTTGTTTTGGCTATGTTATTGTCATTCCATCGTACAGTAATCCAGATAGCCGTGATATGCAGATTGGCCAGATGGTCATGCTAACAGATTGAGAACCCACTTCCCCCTGCTAAAGAGCAGGTGTAAGATCAGTGGGCTTTTTTGCCTTTTTTTTTTTCTTCCCTTTTTTCCCCTCCTTTCCTCCTAAGTTTCAACCAAAATGCTCTTTAGACAGCTCGTAATGGTAGTTAAAAGGGGCCACATTTCGAATGGTGTTTGTTCTGTGGAGATAATACGTAATATATATGTCAGTTTTACACGCATCTAAAGACTTTTAAAGCATCCATGACATTCCTTCTGTATATAAAGCTTTTGAAAACCAACTTCCAGGCTGCAGCTCATCCAAAACGGTCCTTAAAGTTTTGTTTGCGATGTTAGGAGTCCCTATGCATTTCTGCAGACAAAGTACATTTACTTTTGCCAAAAAACACTGCCAGTTTTGAAGCAGGTATTTCATACACTTTTCCAGTTTGGGGCTCACTATGCATGCCCAGGGGAGCCTGAACATTTCAGTGTTCAGCTGAGATTTTAATGTTTGGGGGCTCATAGGGTTTGGTTTTTTCCTCCATTAACTTTTGCCACAGTGAGACATCTATAGTTGTAAAGAAAGAAGTGAAATGAAGACATCTCACGGTATTCCTGCCCTCAAGAAGGCAGATTTTGCATTGCTTTGGCCTTACAAAACATCAGGGGCCTGTATCTCAGTCAGGAGAGGTGGGGAGGCGACAGCTACAGCTCCTTGACACCTCAAATTTCACGTCCCCACCTATCAGGGGCACACACGAAACGCAGCAGCCTACCCACCCTGCGTGGTGCAAAAAGATATCTCCATCTACCGATGCTCTTTGCTTTGCGATGTGGGACCCAGCGCTCCCTGCAGCCGCGGTAGCTGACAGAAGGAGGATTTAGGTGGGACAACTGCTCTCTCCGCGCGGTGGTAACTGAGCCGATGAGGAGCCGTGATAATTTGGATACTAACTGGTGCGGCACTCGGGGCGGCCTGCTCCAGCACGAAGCCCTGGGAGCGGT